AAGGAGATTCGACTAGCCCGCCCCCTGCGCCGCCCCGGGAAGCGGCTGGGTCCCTTCTGCTCTGCCGTGATCAGAGCCAAAGGAAATGGCGCAGGGCGACAGTCTGCACCCCCGCTGCTCGGTGTGTGGCGCAGGGACGCGGGCACTGGGCAGTGAGAGCCTGGACCGAGGCCCCGCCTGGGGGCGCGGCAGGGATCGCAGCGCCCCTCCGTTCCCGCCTGCGCCGGGGCAGGGAGGGGGCGCCAGGAGGGGGCGCCAGGAGGCCCGACGGAGCTGAGGTTCTGTCTGGGAGACAGAGGAGCAAGGGCTGGGCCCTGTGGCCACATGATAGGGCAAGGAGATCCGAGCTCCCCAGCGAGGGCAGCCCTGGAAAGGAGAAGTGCCCGCCCCCACTCTTCCACTGATTTATTTTTTTTTTAGAGCGTGTATAAGGGAGGGATGGAGGGAGGGGGGGAGAGAGAGAACCATCTATGTGAGAGTCACATCGACTGGTTTGCCTCCCACACACATCCCGACCAGGGGCAGGGAGGGAACCCACAACTGAGGTGCATGCCCTTGACGAGGATCGAACCCATGACCCTTCAATGCACAGGCTGATGCGCTAACCACTGTGCACACCAGCCAGGGCCCAGGCTAATTCTCACTGACTCTAAGTCCTAAATACCTCTTGAATTTGTTTTGTCCATTCTGGCTCCTACTGCCTTCAGAATACATTTCTTTTCTGGAGCGCTGAAACAATCTCTGTTTCCATGCTTACCTCCTTCAAACCCATACTTCACACAGCTCCCGGCATATTTTAAATGAACATGACCATGTTATTTGCATAATTAACAATCTTCAGTGACTCCCCATTGCCATCAAAATTGTCTCAATTACTTCCCATGGCATGTAAGGTCCTCTACAATCAGTCCCTCTCTGCTGCACTCATACCAAATCATGTGCAATCCTCTGCTTAATCTAGCAACCTCCAGTCAGCCTCACAACTCACCCCAGATTCCCTGGGCATGTGTCAGCTCCTTATTTCAGAACCCAGGTCAAGACTTCTCTTCCAGGAAACTTGCAAGCAAATTCTTACTGCACCCTTTGTTACATCACTGTTTGATGTGCTTCACCATTATTGCACTTATCACACTGAACTGTAATCATTTACCTGATGTTCCAATTAGACTATAAATTCCTTTTAAGGGCAGAGGAATTATTATTGCCATCCACAGTACTTGACACAGTGTCAATTACATGAGATACTTAGTACCTTCAAAGAATGAATGTTGACTTCCACAATATTTTATGAAATTGGATCCTATCTTCCACTGTCAGTATCCAAGCCCAAGCCCTTCCTTCTACCTCTGTACTCGTACAAGTCCTGCCTCTTATAAATCCTGCCTCTAGTTTATTAACCTTCCTAATGTCACCTAAATTCTTTCTGAAGCACAGTTCTGATCAAATCCTGCTTAACCTCAGAAACCTCCTACTGCTGTTAGGTCCTGCCTTTTTCCCTGCTGCCCTAGCAGCTCACAGCAACCCACTTTTCCCAAAGTGACAGCTCAGCTCTATGCTAATTAAAAAACCAACCAGGAGGGGCAGACAGTACCCAGCCAGCCTCCACTTAAATCTCTCAATCACCATCTAATGAAGCTTATTAGCATCAGACACCCTGCCAAATCCAATCTAGGACGGATGGTACTGGTGACAGCTACAAGGTTCCCATATTATCCAGTCACAGCCTTCCCCAGGGAAAACTCCATTTCATCATTCTCATCATACAGTAGTGGTGCACTGGGGGCTGCTCTGAGGGGATGAACAACACTAACGGGTTACTGTCTATAATTTTAAAACAATAATAAAATTGACTGAAGGCCAGTCTGCTTTTTACTACCACAAAACAGCAATTCTAAACAATGTCAGTTAATAAAATACTCCTCCATGCCAGGGTGGCCAGGCCCAGCACCACCACTCCTTAGTGAACCACTAGTCAGGAATCATTCTTTTGAAACCTTTAACCCACCACAAAACTGAAGTAATCACCTGTTCCTAAACCCTTAATACATATCCGAGTCCCCTACAAGGCTAATCTCCTACAATCTCCATAGCATGCTAAGGGGAGCTTATCCTGAACCAGTATGGACATTCACGAACACACCTCTCCTTCTGGCCAGCTGCCCATCAACAGTTTGCTTCAGAGGCCCAGGAAGGTCCTGAGGGAGTGAAATGCACCAAGTCCCAGTTCCCCTCTGCTGCCAGGAGAAACTAACCACGCCTTACACTCGCCCTACAGACCAGGCTAGCCGCACACAGAATACGGTTTGAATTCCAGAGGCAGGCATTCGCAAAACGCCATAATCTGGACCCGGTTCTAATTCCAATACTCTAACAAACTACTTATACTCAGTATATTTCTGCCTATTACATGGAAGTCCTCTTGTGTTACAGTACTTTGTCTGATTTACCTAACTGCTAAGCCCCAGGAGGAAATTTAAAGACTCAATCCTGTTTTAGTGCTAGAGATGCAATGGACACTCAGTTCTATAACATAAAATTAGGGAGAGTTAATACATAAAAGAGCAGAATACATTTTTATTATACAGAATTTTATTTTTAAAAAAACTTTATTTTCATAGAATACATTTCACATTAGAGATTCTCACAGTGGGAAAATAACAATATATTACTTAAAGTTTTATATGTGTGGATACTATTTCAGGACAAGTAAAATGAACTCCTTCAAGGATTAAGTCTGTTTAGAACATGTAATATACTGATAATTCCACAAGGGGGCCTCTTCCCTGCATGGAACTTGTCTATATTCAGAAGCTCTCTGGGCTTTTTCCCAGGATTTAGAAATTAGTAATGGGAAATATCAGGATTTCCTAACTTTAAAGTTTCCCAAAGACATATTAACCATCAGTGACTGGTGTCAACTGAACGAAGGGGGAAGTTTTCAAATATTAAGTACTGCCTGAGTTTCTGCAGTCTTTACTTATGAATTAGTTTCCCTTTCTCCATCATTCCCAGGACAAATGTAGAAGTTTGATCAGGATTAATAATAACAAAGCTGAATTCCCTTTAGAGTTTGGTAAATTAAAATGCAAAAGCTCATATATAATGTTGCATTATGAGTCTTGTGAGAAGCTGGAAGACAACCTCATTCACTCACCAGAATATGGAATTCGGTCTCACAATTTCTTGGAAACAATTCCTCTCAAACCTTTTCCTCACAGATTAAATCCTAACACTAACCAGGTGATCAGGTTTATCTCAGCAGTGGACTCATCTGTTATTTCCTCCTTATCGTGAGATGAATGGCATGACAGAGCAGAGGCAAAGAGGTGTACAATCAATTGGCAAGATATTAAGTCAAAAAGGTCAGAGCTTCCACAGCATGGCAACAGCTTTGCAGATGCCCACATCGTGATAGTTGAAATAACAAAGGCCAGCAAAGGTGAGAGCCGAGAGGGCCAAGAGGCCTGCCTTGGCAGCTTTCTGCAACGAATCCTTATGAACATAGTCAATAACAACTTGTCCAAGGCCCCTAAAGAAAAAAAATCATAGCACAAGTGAAAAATCACAAATGATATTAGAAGACTATACAGATAACTTGGCTACAAAAAGATAACCAGGTTCAAAATGTAACAAGGTATAAACCAAAGTAAAGAAATTGTTTCCTAATAATATAATAAAGACATCTCCCCATTCTTCAGATTAAATTTTCCAGTCATTTGTATCAGAGATAGTAATTAATTGCTACTCTTACCTACAAAATCTTGGGTGTTTTTTTAAAACTAAAAAAATGTTCTGCAGAGTTTTTCATTAATTCAAAAAGAATATATTAAACAGATGTGATGTACCAGAACCTGTCATAGCTGTTGGGAGTACAGCAAATAAAGCAGCATCCCTGCCCGTACAGAACATTCACTACTAGAACTCAGTGTGAAAATAACAATTTATTACTTAAAGTAACAAGGAAAGAAAGAGTACGTATGTGCTATGAAGTAATATTTTAGAAAGGATGACCTGAATGAGAAGAACATTCCACAAAAGTGACAATGACTTTGGCATCTTTGAAGAACAGTAAAAAGGGTAGTATGGCAGGAAACATGGAGATCAAAAGGTGGGACAGATCACATAGGGCCTTGAAGGTCATGAAAAGGAGCTGAATTTCATTTGAAATATAATGAGAAACCACAAATGTGCTTTAAGTGGGGAGTGACCTAAGCAGGGAGTGACGTAATTTTACTTTTTTTAAATAACAGTTTCATTGAGATAAAATTCACATACCACAAAATTTTTAAGTGTACAACTGAGTGACTTTTAGTACGCTCAAAGCTGCCACATTATTGGTNAAATAACAGTTTCATTGAGATAAAATTCACATACCACAAAATTTTTAAGTGTACAACTGAGTGACTTTTAGTACGCTCAGAGCTGCCACATTATTGGTATTTAACTCCAGAACATTTTTATCACCCCAAAAAGAAACCCTGTACCTAATAGCCCATTACCGAACCNTATTTAACTCCAGAACATTTTTATCACCCCAAAAAGAAACCCTGTACCTATTAATAGCCCATTACCGAACTACTACTTTGTTTTCCATCTCTATGGATTTGCCTATTCTGGACATTTTATGTAAATGCAATCACACAATATGTGTGGCCTTTTGTGTCGAGTTTCATTCACTTAGAATAATGTTTTCCAGGCTCACCCATGTTGTGGCATTTATCAGCACTTCAGGCCTTTGTATGGTCAAATCACACAGGGATACCCCATTTTACTGACACTTTGCTTTACCGCATTTTGCAGATATTGCGGTTTGTGGCAACCCTGCATCGAGCAAGTCTGTTGGTGCCATTTTCCCAAAAGCATTTGCTTACTTTGTCTCCCTCTGTCACATTTTGATAATTCTCAAAATATTTCAAACTTTTTCATTATTATAATACTGTTATGGTCATCTTTGATGTTACTAGGACAAGACCCTCCACCAGAAAAAAATTATGACTTGCAGATGATGGTTAGCATTTTTTAGCACATGAGTATTTTTTAATTAAGATATGTAATTTTTTAGACACAATGCTATTGCACACTTATTAGACTACAGTATATATGGTATAAACAACTTTTACATGCACTGGGAAACCAAAGAATTCCTGTGACTCACTTTATTGCAATACTTGTTTTACTGCGGTGGTCTGGAACTGAACCCACACTATCTCCAAGGTATGCCTGGAGTCACATATACCGCATTTAGTTTAGCTACTCATCAGCTGATAAACATTTGGAGTGTTTCACTTTTTGGCTATAAATAACACTGCTATGAAAACTGTACAAGTTTTTGTGTGGGGTCATATGTTTTCAATTTGGGGACAGAGGGGATATATGCCTAAAAGTAGAATCTTTGGGTCATATGGTAACTACAGCTTTTTGTTGGAACTTCCAAACTGTTTTCGAAGTGGCTGCCACATTTTACATTTCCAACAAAGCTATATGAGGACACCAACTTTTTGACATCCTAGAAATACTAGTTACTGTCCATGTTTTTTACTACAGCCATCCTAGTGGGTGTGAAGTGGCATCTCACTGTAGTTTTGATTTGTATTTCTCTAATAACAAATGATGTTGAGCATTTTTTCATGTGCTTACTGGCCATCTGTGTATCTTCTTTGGATAAATCTAATTTTACTTTTTAAAAAGGTCACTGGCTGTGTTGTGGAAAATGGGCAGTGCAGTCAGGAAAAAGAGGGCAAGAGCAGAAACAGAGAACTAACTAGGAGGCAGCAGGAGTAGTCTAGGCAAGACTGTTGGCTTAACCTAGGCTGGGGACAGGGGAGGTGGTGTGAAGTGACAATTCTGGCTGTTTAAAGAGAGTTAACAGAAAGAGCTGATGGACTAGGTGTAGGATAAAACAAAAAGAAAAACCTAGAATGACTCTTAGAATTTGGGGCTTGAGCAACTAGATTTAATTGAGTAGGAAAGAACAGGAGAGAAGGTTTTGAGGGGAAATCAAGAGAGATGTGAAGGAAAAAAGAGTGATTTTGGCAAAGTTAAATTTGGGATGACTATTAAACATTCAAGTGGCTATGTCAGTTAAACAACTGGAAATAAAAGTCTGCAGCTCAGAAAAAAAATAGGTAAGTCCTAGATAACCTTGGGGAAGTGTGTAGACAGAGAAATTAAGGCCAAGACTGAGCCTGGGGTTCAGACCATTATTCAAGGTGAGCCCAGAGGAGGAGGAGCTGGCAGAGGAGAATGAGAGGGTGCAGCTT